GCTAGCCACTCCCTAACACTAAAACACTAGGATTCCTAGTCATGGGTGAGTTAAGTCCGGAGAGAGATTCAAAGCTGAATAAGATTCATGTTTTAATGTGTACGCTGACCAAATATTTGCCACTAAGATTTTACTTTAGGCACAGAGGGATTCAACAGTTGTCATAGGTAAATCAGTTGACTTCACTCGTGAGTTATTGCCTCATTAGGACCATTTGGCAATAAGAATGAGCTTTAGGCCGAAAAGCCGAAGTTTTCCTAACATACTAAGTACGATTGACATACGGTTCATGTCCATTCAACGTCACTTTAGGTGTAGCAAGATAAGCATGCGAACTTTGTACCGATGTGCAGCAGTTCAAGTCGCCACACTCCACTCCTTGTAGCACACAAAGCAAGAAAAGAAAGTAAAAGAAATGCAAAATAGAGACAGTAAACAAAGATATGAGACAAAACGAATAGTACTAACGAAGAACAACATAGTTTCATTGGGTATTAAAAGTCACAAGGAGTGGATGAATCTGTGTTAGCCACTGAGAACGATTTTGAGCCATATCACCAATTGTTTTAAACCACTGGTTTTTACCGTCCCGAGGAACCCAACCAGTCAATCAGGAAGTCTACACCTTCCTACGAGGCTGGCTGGCTTAAACTAACTGTTGTGGAATCACTGACTGGTGTCATGTTTTCGTTTGACCACCGCTAGCTCTCTCTTTTCCAAACTGACTTTATGTCAGTTAACATTGCCCATCCGTCGACGAAGGCGATCTATGGCTTATGATGCATGCATAACACATCTCCTAACCATCTCAGTCGGTGTAGCTTCACAGCCTCGTCGATTGATTCCCCCTCCTTGCCTAGCACTTGACTGATGCCTAACCTCAATATTGCTCACCCCATTATACAACTTCACACGTGAGATAGAACGCAGGTACCTATGGTCAAAGACAGCTAGCTAGCCTTTTCATGTCTTCCAGTCTCAATGGCCAGGTCTCACATCCAGCCATAAAGGAGGACGGAGCCGACTGGTGAGCAGTACACACGCCCTTTGGTCGACAGTCAGTCGGATATCACGTCTACTAAGCCAGAGACGGCGTAAACTGATATATGCGAAACGAGCCTTCTGTATCCGTGATGAGATCTCGTCAGTGATCAATTCGTTGCAGACTGATATCAACAGCTGCCTTCGCCGATTCCATATTGAATATAAAGTGGCTAACCAGAAAGAATTAGCAACAAGGAACCCTGGTGACGAACCAGTCAAGAAACTGTTGCTCAATAAATATGTAGAAGAAAGTGGAGATGGCTGAGACAAACACTGAAGAGACCGTCGGTTAGTATCGCTGCCAGGCCATCGGTCCAGTGGGAAACGATGAGTGTCATCCATAGGTGATGTATAGGAGGAGATGAAGGATAACGGACAATCATGGAGCCATTTAAAGGGAACAGGACAAAGTGGGGATAGGCTGTAGAAGCCCTTTGTTCCACTCAGAACCCAAGGGAACAGTAATAAAAATATAGGGAAATACAACAATTAACATGACTGATGATTTGACCTCATCACGAGACGCATAGCCTGCCAAATACGTCAGTTTTCACTTCTGTGTATCAAACGGAGAATGTGCTGGGTGTGGATTCCTCTTTTCCTGCCCACATGTTGCTAAAGTTAGCTAATAGTATTGATGTAAATGAGTGGTGTTCAACGGAGCACTACTAGTGAATTACTTAACATCCCCTAATATTATCTTAAGAGCAAGTGGATGACAAATACAGAGACTGGTGATAATGACCTTTCCTTCTGAAGTTCATAAAACATCAGAAATTACCTGATGCATTTGGATAGGCGACTACTAAACAGTTAAGTTGACGTGTTGATTTTGAATACCGGTTATAGAAAAATTCCCTTTTTGTCAGTGTCTGAGTGAGGAACAATTCATCTTATTAGTGTTTCTTAAAGATCTTCATATTCTCCAATAAATCATGAAAAAAATCATTTTTCATAGTCCTAGTTCACTAGTAGCACGTAAAAATTCAATTTATGCTCAGGATCGCCCCCTCCCCATCGAACTTATAAAATCGGTGAGACATTCAATGGAAGACTGACTTTTCATTAGCCAGATTCTACACTCAGATATATCAAATGTGGATTCCTCTGCTTAACGCGGAATTAATCAGCATTGTGAACAAAATGTGTTACTTTAGTAGTAACCAATTGCTGTAACGACAAAAGGCAAGAGTCAGGCCAAGATATATATATATATATTTTATGTACATTAGTATTCGTTACCATCAGCAGAGAAACAACCTCTTCTCATTGGTTGTTTTCTCACTGAAAGTTATTCTGTCATCTCTTTGTGGCCATTTCTTTGAAGGCCAGACCATATATTTGCGAATAATATCCGCTCACGCAAAGTCTGCTGTGATTGGTTGTTGAGTTAGTCTTTGTTTTTTCTCATGACCAAGATTTGGGACGTAAACATTGAAGTAAATTGGTGTCTACCAATTTTGGTAAGCAGACAGCTCTCACCATATTGCAACTGTAAGCGTAGTCGGCAATCAGCTACACCTTATATTGCATGTCTAAAAGCTAGTGTTACCACTTCCTAACTAACGAAATCACGGCAAGTGAAGCGATCGATTCCAAACCCGTTAACTAGCGGTTAGAAGTGAGAGTGCCTATACACCAATGAGACAAATTTTGAATCATTTGAGGAATTCGTAAGCTACTGGTGTGGTGAGAGCTGTCTGCTAGCCAAAATTGGTAGATAGCAATTTACGTCAATGTCTACGCCCGAATCTTGGTCATGAGGAAAGAACAAGAACAGAGTCTAACCTTGAGGAACTCAACAACCAATCACAGAAGACTTAGCGTGGGTGGATACGATTCATTAGGTACACTATACCAGCCCTTAACTAAAAGTAATTTGCCTAATTACCCAATAAATCAATAGTACTCTACCTAACTTGTAAATACTGACAATAAAATGCAATCTGAACGAAGAACATATTTTTCAATAATTTCTCCTCTTCAGGTTCTTATAATTATAAAATACAATATTTGTTGTCGTTACAATAATGGCCAGTTATGCGGCGGATACATTTTTTAACGTAGAATAACAGACTAGTTATCGTAGGGTGTGAAAATAAATAGTCATATTTGTGTGACAAACGTCGTGCTAGGCTGAAATCGATTACAAAATATTGCAAAACGGGAGACAATGGTGATGGTGATTAGTCATAATAGATTTGTAGAGTGTGGGGTAGGAAAATTGACGAGTCAGTTCAAGGTTATAAAAGGTATTAGTTGCGTGAGTGGCTAGTACAAAGTGGTATGTATTAAAGAGGAGATAGTAGGACTGCAATGAGAGGTTCATAATGAAATAACCAATATGTGAAATGAAACAGGTGGAGGCATACATTGAGAAAAGAGATAATATCACTAATAATAAGTCCGGATAGTATGAATGAAATATTCGATAGTATTGAGAGAATGTTTGCATGAAGGGCATAAATTATGAATAATAATAATATTTGTAATAATAAGCAAAGAGGAAAAACGTCCAAGAGGGTTAAGGGGAAGAAGCACTCTTGGTGAGAAGAAGAATCATCAATCCAAGTTTGGCCATGGTAAAAAATAATGTATCCACCGCATAATTGGCGATTATTGTAACGACAATAAGTATTATATTTTATAATTGTAAGAACCTGAAGAAGAGAAGGATGTATTGAAAAGAATATTCTTCGTTCAGATTGACTTTTAATTCATGTGATATGGGAATATTTCATACTTCATACAAAACGGTTACCCATCAAGATTCGTAGACAAAAACATCAAACAAAAAATCCAAAAGCAAGAAACAGCATCTGTGCCAAAAAAGATACTTTATATGAACCTCAACTTCAAAGGAGACCTACTCAGTGACGTCCTTAGAAGGAGAATCTCCACCTCTTTAAGAAGAACTTTCTTTGCGGCAACATTGAGAGTAGTGTTCTCCAGTCGCCCGCTGATCTGCAGAAGCCCAAAAGGCAAGATCCCGCACCTGACCACTTCTATGTGTATATATCAGTTCACCTGTTGCTGTGGAGCCAGGTACATCGGTCGTTCAACGCGTATTCTGTCAAAAAGGGTCAAAGAACACTATCCAGCGTGGCTGCAGAAAGGAAGTAATGGCTGCATAAGGAGTGCAATAATCGAACACCTCGTCAACACTGGTCATTCCATCTCAACAAACGCCTCCTTCAAAGTAATCTACAAAGTGAAGAACAACCTTCCAAAGACAGTACGATTCCGTCTTCTTTGCATCGCAGAAGCCCTAGCCATTAAGCTAGAGGAATCAGAACTGTGCATACAAAAGAAAATTATTCAACCACTTCTACTCCCATGGTAACAACTGTGTTGATTTGACTTAACTTTTGTTTGTATGCTTATTTTTCTACCTAAAACCCTTGTGTAATTCCGTATATTTTGCTTCCATGTACACCCTGAGTACAACTCTTTCATCAAACTATTCATGTTATTACGTAACTCTTCTTTAACAATCGTTCGTGACAACTCATCACTTTTGTTACTACCCTCTTATATCAACACCCAATTCACCTGAACTTACTAGCTGTATTTTCGTTTGACAAATTTAATGTACACACACATACAAAACAACCATATATATTTGCGATTGTACAGCTATGAAAATGAATTCGCCGAAAAGAGACTCTTCGCTGAACTACTTGTCTTCTGTCTATTTGATTGCATGGGGGATTTCATCATGAGCTGACATCAGTTAGAGAACCACTGGAAAACCTGGGAGTACTGGACAGCTGTTTCGTCAGCCTAGTTTGGGACTCTTCATCAGTACGCACCCACCGGGATTCGAACCCAGGACCTTCTGGTTACAAGGCGAGCTCGTAGACCATTGAGCCACTGGGACTCGATCCAATGCCTATTTCATACTATTAAATAAAATGTAAACCAAAAAGACTCAGTTAATGAATAATGTGCTCTAGTGAGTAGTATATATATATATATATATTTGAGTCAAATAAAAAGTTAAGATTATTCAGACAAAGGATTTAGAACACATCAAGCTGGTATGGTATGGTATGGTATGGTTGAATTACATAATAATCACAGAATGTACATGTTAGCAGTATAAGGCAAGAGGGCAAAATGGCGTTCCATCCAGTCCGTATGTGTGTGTACACATTAAGACAACAACAAAAAACTTAAAACACAGCGAGATGCCTTACAATTTCATCAAAATAGGACAGATTCTATCTTCAAAAGAATAACAAGTAGGTTTCGTACATATATGTATATCTATCTATATACACATTTAAGAAAAAGAAAACCACCCAAAGATCACTGATTTTCATTTTTTTGCAATGATAATATGAATCATAAAAGCATTTGTTTGAAGATAGACAGAGATTAAAACTCAAAGAGATAAAATAATAATATAGAAAAGTACAAGTAATACTGGGATTAGGTGCTTCTCCATCGATCTCCTTCGTTCAACTCCATTGTGTTGAAAATCTTCACCATGAATAAATTTATTCATAAGATAAAAAGCTGCAGCTGGTTTATCTCCAGGCACCATATGTCCTGCTCCATGAACTGTAGCATACATTAGCATTGAACCATAATTTTCAAATATTTTCCAAAATCCACCAACCTGCTTTGTACCATCTCTTTTGGTGTACAACCAAACTCGACGTGATAAAGTGGGCTGTAATTTGAAGGGAAGACAGAACAGAGAGAGGAAATTTAAGAAAATATTTCGTCAAGTGGATAACAACAATCTATCAGTTTTACTGCCAGTGGTTCAACAGTAGAATTGTAACGACAGGAGACAAGGGTCAGGCAACAGATCGTTCACATTGAGAAAATCAACAGATATATTTATAGATGTGAATACATGAAATAATAAGAGTAGTATGAAATGCAATGAAAATATTTGTGATTATAATCATAGTTTAATGTCAAGTGGCAAAATAATTAATGTCATATATACAATAATACATAAGGTGTATAGAATTTTGGAAAGGGGTACATAATTATAAGATTAGTAGACGAATATAAAATGTTACATAACATGGTGTGAAATTTGATAAGATAGAATTCAATATTGTAAAAATAAAAATTAATAATTTTGGGTTTCAGATGTCAAGTGGGTCAAGTGAAAAAGATGTACATTGGCCGTAGTCAGAGGATGCTTTCCACACGGATACGAGAATGTATTACAGCATGGTTTTATAAGGGAGAAAGGAAGTGTGTGCGAAGCTCTATTTTGGAACACCTGATCGACTTCTGTCACTCTGTCAACCCTGACCATGATTTTAAGATCATATATAGAATCCATGCTAACTTCCCGCGTTTTCTTCGTTACAGACTTCTAAAGACAGCTGAGGCCTTGGCAATTCATGACTTTAAGCCAGACTTTTGTGTACAAAAGAAGTATGTACAATCCCTACTTCTGCCTTGGCCGTAGAGGGATAGACATTCATTTATTTTATTTTGTTTATTTAGTTATTCTATGTACTTTTCCCTTATTACTACGATTATTATTATTACTATTCTCACTCTGAATCTTTTCCACTTGACCCACTTGACATTTTAAACCCAAAATTATTGATTTTTATATTTTTATTTTTACAATATTGAATTCTATCTTATCAAATTTCACACCATGTTATGTAACATTTTATATTCGTCTACTAATCTTATAATTATGTACCCCTTTCCACAATTCTATACACCTTATGTATTATTCTATATATGACATTAATTATTTTGCCACTTGACATTAAACTATGATTATAATCACAAATATTTTCATTGCATTTCATACTACTATTATTATTTCATGTATTCACACCTTTGACCTAATTCCCTCACCGGATATAATTTTTTTAAAAAACCCATATATATACGATTTTACAGCTTGATAATAAATTCGTTGAAAAGAGTCTCTTTGCTGAATATTGTGTTCTTAATGCTACAATGGGAATTATTAAATTATATTTATAGATTTTTACGTACATTATTATTTTTAGATCCCACTGACTCATTCGATGGTAAAATTCTGCTCCCGCATACCTCTTTCGACATTTTGTATGGATTGGTTCGCAGTCATTCTGGTTCCAGACCGAAAAGAATCAAAAATCCACCGGTTGCTGAATTATTAATACTTCTTTGCATGTTTATTTTTTTTAATTTTTTAATTTATTTTGGTTACAGCTTGATGCCACACCGTATTTTCAATACAAGTATGGAATTTTCAGCATGGATATCGGTAGCCCAAATATTGCGGGCCGACCATTAGATATCGGGTGTGCGTCGGCAGGGGATCGAACCTCGGACCATGTGCATGGTCGGCGAGAGTCCTAACCACTGTGCCATAACTGGATACGAACTGCTGGGGTGAGCATCTTGCAGATTATATTGCTTAAAACATCGTTTACGGTAAACTAACTAACGTTTTATGACCCATTTTTATACTTTTGAGAGTAGCCCACCATATCGACCAAGTGTAACGCAACACTCAGTTGTTACGCTCATTTTCATCAAATTCAAACAATTATTGTGCCTAGGATTATGCCATATAAATTGTTTTAACTTATGCAAAGTGTGCTTACTGTCATTATTCCATTAACTTCCCTTTGCATAAATATCTTGTGTCAGTGAAAATTTTAAACATGCTTACTCCATGTGTACATTATTATCATATTGATGATGCCAGTCAACTGGAGTCCCTCATGTGCATAAAGTGAGAATATATTATTATTATTATAAGACGCATTTTATTGTTATATGAGGGAATTGACTTCAAGCTTTATTTATTTTCATAAGTATCTGTAATCCATCCAACGCATACTTGGGTTTTTTGTTAATTCGAAGTCAATATCTCTATATTTCTTGATGTGGTCCATTGAATCACTCACTAGTTATCAGACTTTTCCCACAAACTAAAGATAAAATGACAGTAACCATGCTATTTAACGGTAAACCATGTAATTTAAATATTGCAAAAATGTTCATTCAGACATCTATAAAAACAAAATAATCGAGCAAAGAATATTCTTTTCGATAAATTCCTCTTCCAGGCTCTACAATTATATATATGTTTTTATACACAGAATATTTTAAATTAGTAGTTATTAACAATATTAGCGTTTTTTCAAATAATATCGATTTGTAAAGTATGATCAATGCTATTGCAGTTCATTAATGATGCTTAAATTATAATAATAATAAAGATATAACAGCGGATAGAATATCAACTAAAATTAGGGAAATTTCACAAAATTCTGGATTATTCAAACCTGGATGGTCAAGGTAATGATAATGACTGGACTAACTTCTTCTGGGTGCATAAATTAGGCTTATTAATATGAATCCCCACAGCCTCCGCAATATTTAGAAGTCGAACTCTTAAAGCGAAATTGAGATTCATAGGTATGCGGTAAATGACCCTGAAAGCATGATTAACGTCAATCTTGTGTTCTGTCTCCACAAGATGCGCCAGAATAGCACTGCGAATAGATTTTGTTTGACCTTTGCTTAACCAGGCAGGGTGATGTTCGGAAATTCGACGAGAAACACGCCTAATTGTACGGCCTATGTAACTGGCTCCACAGGAGCAGTTAAATTGGTAGATACACATGGAAGAGGCGAAATTAGGCAGTTTGTCTTTTATTCCCGAACGCAGAAGAGGAGTGGTTTTGAAGATACAGCGCAATTGAGCAGCAGGGAATGTTCTTTTTACCGCATTTCTGAGGCGATGTGTTAGTATTTCACTTGTGTTGTCTCCTAGCAACTGCATCTGCAAGAACAAGGATTTCTTTGGAACTGTTGGTACCTTGGATTGTTTTGGTTTTAGATTCATATTCCTATCAATAAACTTTTCCGGATAACCATTCTCACTTAGCAAACGTTTAATATTGTTGAGCTCCTCGTCAAGACATTCATCCGAGCAAATCTCTCTTGCTCTGTGGACCAGGCACTTTATCAGATTGCGTTTGTATTTCAAGGGCACAAAGCTGAGAAAATGTGTGTACTGGCCGGTTGATGTAGGTTTCCTATAAACATTTCTTCGTATTGTGCCATCCTCTTTTCTGGTCATAAGGACGTCTAGAAATGAAATACTAGAGTCTTTTTCTTTCTCAATAGTAAAATTTATTGCAGGATGTACCTCATTAAATTTATCCAGGATGTCCTTTGCCTCATTTTCGTTCTTCATAATCAAAAAAGTATCATCCATGTATCGACAATAAAATTCGAGTTGATTAATAACATCTTTCAAAGGCCCATTTTCTAGTTTCGCCAGGAAAATGTCGGCTAGAATGGGTCCTAGTGGCGACCCCATTGCCACACCGTCGATTTGTCTATACAGTTCCTTATTAAATAAAAAGTGGACATTCATTGTACATTTCAAGAGAAGCTCCTTCATGAAAGCTATAGGAATGCCAATCTCGATGTTTCGTCTTTTGAGTTCTTCACATATAAAGTCCACTGTTTCCATGAGAGGTACATTGGTGAATAAAGAAGATACGTCAAATGATATCATAAATTTGTTATCAACATTTAAATCTCTTATCCTTTCAACGAATCCAAATGTATCCTTTACACTATGTTTCACCAACTCAGTATGAAGGGGCTGTAAGAGTTCAACTAACCATTTGGCTACCGGATGGTATGGTGAATTTAGCATATCTAATACTGGTCGTAGCGGTACACCATTTTTGTGCACTTTAGGCGAGCCATATAGTCTTGGTGTGAACGTTCCGGTGGGTTTAAGTGACGTGTACTGACTCTGTGAGATGAAGCCTTGTTGTTTCAGTCTTTTCAGTGTTTCCGCCAACTGCATCTCTATCTTTTCAACCGGATCCAGAGAAGAGGAGATTTTTTGGAATTTTGAATTATCATTAAGAATAGTATTCATCTTCTCAAAGTAATCCGCTTTGTTCAAGATAACCACTCCTGAACCCTTATCCTTTAAATATGTAACTTAAATAATGCTTATCCATACCTATGCAACTGGTGTGTCCTACACAGGTAGGAATAAATATGTACCTCATTATATTATCATTACTAACTATACTTACTAATCGTAGGTGTAATTTATCGAATTGATGATGCTTGTAAACTGGAGACCCTCATGTACAAAAATGAGAATATATTATTATTATTAGCGTTATTGTTAACAGAGAAGCAAAGTCTTTTGATCGGTTGTTTTCCTGCTGAAGGTTACTCTGTCATCTCTGTGTGGTCGTTTCTTTGAAGGTCAGACCATATATCTGCTGTGATTGGTTGTTGAGTTAGTCTTTGTTTTTTTCTCATGACCAAGATCTGGGACGTAAACATTGACGTAAAATTGTTGTCTACATTTTAGTCTTGCAGACAGCTCTCACCACAGAGTAACACACTCGTCAACCACGGCCACCGCTATCTCCTCAACCTCGGTTAACCTGTAGTCAGGCCGGAAAAGATGTAACGTTGAGAGCGTGGGACTAGGAACCACAACTGGTTAATTAAATTTTAGAGCTCAAAGCCACTCGTAATGTAAAGGTATGATAAAGAGAAAATTGGCGTAAGAGCTTATAAAGTGATACACTTTCATGAAGTTAGTAAAAAATTAGAGTAGTAGCGACTAAAGCCAATTAATGCACAAATAATCTTGAGGGATCTTGTCAGAGTGAATCAGACCAATTTTGGTCGAAAAGACGG